GTCATTTGAAACCAAAACTAAGGCCTCAGGATGACTTTAAGACTTGAACATGGTCATTTTTGTTTTGTAACATTGAATAAAATAAAATAAAAAATAATAAAAAATAAATAAAAAAATAAAATCCAATCCCCGATTTTTTTGTCCCGATTCCGATCTTTTGAAAATCACGTGATCGGCTCCGATCCCCGATCACGTGATCGGATCATCTCTACGATGTTGTTTAACAACCGACGTAAACGGACCTCCGCGCTATCAAGCAGTGAGCGTGCGATGTCCTGTTCAGATGACGTCAAATCCAACGGGATGCCATAAATAAACTACACAGAATCACACTACACACCTACGCAATGATTACATTCAGGCAGACTGTAGAATGCCTCTTTGGACAATTCATATACTTATTGAAAACAAGCAACAAAATGTAATACCTTGGAAAATGCCGTTTAATACTTTTTAATAGCCTTCATTTTCGCTAAATGGATTTATCAACTTTTAATACTTTTTAAGACCCCTGTTTACAAACAGTTCAAACGACAGAGGGCAAAAGTTGCACAGTTGACTGAAACACAACACAAAGGTTAAGAGGGCTTTACAAACCGCATCTTACATTATTAGCTATGAAATAAAAAGGGGAAAAGCCACAAATAATTCTCTTTACCTGCTTCACCACGGCCACCTTGCTGTCCTCTCTGGAGCCCAGGGCCAGGATCTCATTCAGGGACTGCAGGCTGGAAACACACATTTGTGATAAGAGGAGATAAATCTACATTCAATATCCTCCAGGTGTATATGTATATGTCTGTACCTGGTGAGCTCCAGGCGATCACAGAGCTTCTCCACCTCCTCCATCATCTTCACACTGTCAGATTCCTCCTCAGTGAAGTAATTCCAGGTCTGTGGAGTGAGTAGACGAGATTAAACAAAGCACTCTTACTGCTGGAGGTTAGAAAGTGTCCAGAGATGCTTTCTGAGCACAAACCTTGCAGGAAGTCCTGAGTTTCTGCCTCTCCTTCTTGATGGCCTTCTTCTGGATCTCCTTCTCCTTCTTGGCCAGCTGAGCCACCTGCCTGGCCTCCTCTTCCTCCTTCTCCTTCGCCAAACGAGCCGCATCTATCTCCGCCTGCCGGGCCTGAAAACACACAGGAAACTGACTGATGAGACACTCGTCATCACATACTCATTTAAAGGGGCCCTATTGTGCTTTTTTAGGGGTTTCCCCACATCAGCAGGAGAGGACTCTTTAAAGTAGACTCACTACATACTGATATACACCTGAACATCAGCAGGAGAGGACTCTTTAAAGTAGAGACACTACATACTGATATACACCTGAACATCAGCAGGAGAGGACTCTTTAAAGTAGAGACACTACATACTGATATACACCTGAACATCAGCAGGAGAGGACTCTTTAAAGTAGAGACACTACATACTGATATACACCTGAACATCAGCAGGAGAGGACTCTTTAAAGTAGAGACACTACATACTGATATACACCTGAACATCAGCAGGAGAGGACTCTTTAAAGTAGAGACACTACATACTGATATACACCTGAACATCAGCAGGAGAGGACTCTTTAAAGTAGAGAGACTACATATTGATATACACCTGAACATACATACTGATATACATCTTTAAAGTAGAGACACTACATA